ACTCTTTCAGTCTTACTTGCCTCACAGGGTTGCTAAGCAGGTACTGTGGAAGTGAGGACAAAATATATATACACATCCCCAGCTGCTTGGATGACAGGTGGGAATATAAGAATGTGATAGATAGCTATTTAATTCTGTGCAATTTATATAATTCTTCCAGTATTTTCATGTATTGCTGGCAGAGAATTGTGGGCTATAATAATAGGAATTGAATACTATAGGAAAACTGAATTTGAAGTTTCTTGTTATGATAGTGATTTGAGTGTTTCTTTGCAGTTTCTCCAAGATACCCTTGATGCACTATTTAACATCATGATGGAGAATTCAGAGAGTGAAACTTTTGACACATTGGTGTTTGATGCTTTGGTAATTATATATTATACTTATTATATTTAAGTAATTACTGTTTAAAGTCACTTATATAGAGTGGTTAAGTGTCGAAAATATGGCACTTTCTTAGTGATCCTAGACTTGCTAGATGTGGAAGATCTCTTTTGAAAAATTGTTTAGAAATGTTTGCCCATTTCAGACCTCACATACATTGACTTGCAATTGTTTAGGTAATTAGTAAGAGGAGGAGTATTAGTGATTGTGCTCTAGATACTGGTTTTTTGATACTAGCACTTTTATTACCATTCAACCAAAAGCGGCTGTATGAAATTAATAGTAATTTGGATTGGACAAGGAGAAGAAACTTGTTGAGGATGTATCATGTAAATCAAGCATTGGAGGAAACTACTTATCAAAGGTGAGCTGATCATGTATGGAAATATAAACAGTACCTCTTCCTAGTGGTGAAGGGGAAGGCAGGTATGGAGAACTTTGAGGAATTCTTGTAAATTCCAAGAAGAAAATGATACAAACAGAAATACTAGAGCTGCTACTTCAGACTACAGTTTGGTGCAGGGGAACAAGAATCAAGAAATTCCCAGAAGCCTGTTTTTTAATACATTATATTTGAATCTAAAAAAAGCAGCAAGAATATGTGATCAGTGTTCCCTCTAAGCTGAGTTAATGTGAGCCAGCTCACAGTTTTTTAGCCTCCGGCTCACACATTTTTGTCTTAGCTCAGGAAGAATAGCTCTAGAGCAAATAAATGTATGCAGCAGCCAAATCGCTCGCTCACAACTTTAATGCCAGCAGCTCACAAAGTAGAATTTTTGCACACAAGACTCCACAGCTTAGAGGGAGCATTGGTTGTGATTAACCCTTTGTATATGTTACAGTATCTAGTATTATCAACACAGGACAGTCACACTACTTGACGTGGGACATAATCCCATTTGGTCGCTCATAACAGTCATTTGTTTCATAGAATTACTGGTGGACAACATTTTTAAACTCAGTTTAAAAATTAGGCTTGGCAAATTGAATGACATTTTTCACAAAAGTAAGTGTGTGTGTGTGTGTAAACTGCCATCAAGTTGCAGCTGATTTATGGCAACCCCAGCAAGAGGCTTTCAGGGCAAGTGAGAAACAGAGGCAGTTTGGCTTTGCTTTTCTCTGCAGAGTCTTCCTTGGTGGACTCCCATCTAAGTACCGACCCTGCTTGGTTTCTGAGATCTGATGAGATTGGGCTTTACCATGCTGCCTTCCCTCTCACAACAGTAGTCCAGGAATCTGGGCCAGGAACTTTGAAAAATGTAGTCTTCCCAGAGCACTTATTTTGTTTGAATGTCAGGCACCCTGGAAACTACTTGTCCCACAGTTGAAAAGTTTGCATTATTATTTGTTGTTCAGTAAAAAAGTAGCCATATACAAAGATGGAGACCTTTTAGATTAGGCCTCAAGCCTCTGGCAGATCAGTAAATGGCTAATACGTAGCCCTTAATTGTCCTCCTGAAAGTATTATGGCAAACCTTTCTAGCTTTCTAAGTGGTGTTTCATGCCACATTCTTGACAATCATGCCAGTATAGGAGATACTGAATTTGTGAGTGTTGTAAGGAATTGTGAAGTATCCTGATTTGCATATCTTTATTAAAAGGTATATAAGACTCTAGATTAGGGGTTGGATCCTGCATTGTGCAGACACAAGGACTGTGGGTCTTCCGCACCTTCCCTTCCTCTGTGGAGCCCTTTCTGAACCTGGAAAAGTTTATTTCTGGAATTCAGGCACTTAACTAATAGCCATGTAAGTGAGGAGGCTGCAGTAGGGACCAGAAAGAGGGCAAAATTGCTTCTTTCTTTCTTTCTTTCTTTCTTTCTTTCTTTCTTTCTTTCTTTCTTTCTTTCTTTCTTTC